AATACAAGTACTCGAGTACTTGTACTGGGGGGGTCCTTGACGGGGAGTGGCGCTTGCATAAAAATAATTCGAACATTGACCATTCCTGGTCCTGTTGGCTGACAACTGTGCTCAGGCCGTCGTATGTTCATGTGTCCACTACACTCGAGTGCTCTTTGCAAGGGGAGACCGACCTACCGTATTGTTCCTTAATAGTATTGTTTCCTGCCAAGACAGGGAAATGGTGAATTCTAGATGGTGTATGATATCTGGGATTAGTCCTCTCAACAACTAGGATCGGGAAATAGAAGCCGGAATGAACACACCCTAAAAAAAAAAAAGAGAGAGATACCAAGATAATAGAGGGAAGATTTCTATAGAAGTACCCGATATATACTCCTCTTCATTTCTGTGGCCTTTGTTTTCTGATCGGGCAACCATTAGATTGGAAACATAGCAATGGAAAGCATTCGTACTCCCAAGTAGCAAGGTACAGTACAAGTACCAAAGTGGGCCGTTTTTAGGTGTTGCATATGATAAAAACTGAATTTGGCACTTATTCGATTGCCATGCCAGCAGCTAACTTTTCCGGACCAGTGACTACTACCGGTTCTTGGGGTGAGCTTGAGTCTGCGGGCAAAGTTCTGTAAAGTATATTGCAATCACACTCTGCCACCAAGATTCTCGAAATTCCTGCACGCGATCCTGCAGACTTAATCTCGGCCCAAGTGGCTCTAGCCTCTAGACGGTATAATCTCGGGCACCTGAAACTGACCTTGCTTACTTGGGAGTACTAGTGTATACAAAGGCCATTCCATTTTATCCAATTGCACTTACTCAATCGGAAAGCAAGGTTAATAGAGGGCAGTTCGTTCTACAGAGAGTTTCTCTTGATCAACTTGTTTTCTTAAAGTGTGCTAGTCGCCAACCCCGTCCAGCAGTTCGGGTTACCAAATGGGTATATTCCACGCACAAGGCATCATCCAACCTTGAACAATGTATTGTCTCAAGGGAAAAACCGGATAATTCCAATTAATAAAGCACCGGTACTTGTATCAGGCAATAAGTACTGAGTACTCGTACTGTACAGTAGCGTTGAACAACCACCATGCCAGCGGAAACAACGGTGCCTCATTCTCAAATAACTTAATGCCGGATAAAAGTGCCGGCAGCCTGTAGGAATATCATTTCGTTCCCCAGAGTCCGACAAGGGAACCGACTACCGGGAAACAAGCACATTCTATCCATCCTTTGCGAATCGCGGTATGACTTGAGCACAGGCACTTGAAAGATAAAGTGATTCGTAACCTTATCTTCCCAGTAACTCCCGTAGACTACCAGGCAATTGCCATATCATAGCCATCACATGGTACGCCGTGTTGCCCAGTTGGCGACGGCATTGGAAAGCAGATACCGGTGCACCACTGAGGAGTGCTGCGGCGAGGTGATGTTCTGCTAGGAATGTTGCGATGAGGCTATGATGATTTACCATGTCTATTTCAGATTGCCTTCGTAGTAGACCCATCACGGGGATTGGTTTCTCTCCCTCGACATGGAAATGGTAAGATCATGACAGCAAGTTGAGTGATAAGTAAGGTAATTTCTAGAGCTTCGGCTCAAGAGGACTGATTAGATATCATGCTGGTGCCATGTCGTATGGCACCGTTGCTTTTGCCACCTATAATACATCGTGCCCCTCAACTTAAATATTGGGACCCCTTCCGCGGCTTTGAGATATCCTATCCAGAATCAAACGGAAAAAGTAATCGCTTCTCCCACAAAAACAAAAAAGATCTCAGCGGCCTGCTCTCCTTTCCCTTCCCTCTCTTTTCTTTTTCGTTAACGTGGTTCACCGACTGACATAACGCCCTTCGGTTAAGACAGGAAGAGAAGCTAAGAAAAAAGAAATGATTTGGAGAAAAATCAAATATCATCCTTAACACACGCGTCTTCAATGTTCGGGTTCCTAATTCGCAAGGTTCAGGGGCCGTGGGAGAGTGCCCAGGACTCCGAAGAAGAAGAAAGTTCAAAAAGTACGGTATTGTATTAGTACTTATGGAAGGAGAGGGGAAAAAAAGGAAAAAAGCCCCCACCAAACCGTTATCTCAAGCCCCTCTCTGTCTCACGGATATCTTGCATCACCTCGTTCCCCTGCGGGGACATGTTACGACGGTGTCTAATAATCCATGGTTTGTAGGAGTTGTGAGAGTTGGCACGATACTCGGACCGATATCCTAAGTCGGACAGTTCTCAGTGATACTCCTCGCTACCATATTTGGGAAGGGTCTGTCCGTAGTGTATGGCATGGCACTCTTTTCCAGCCCCTTTTTGGAAACCCGGACCAAACAATCCCCGCATGGGATTTCTATCAAGATATGTTGGTTTAGCGGAAGTCTCGGGAGGGACGGAAACTTCTTCGCTTCTCTAGTCCGATCGTAGTCAGCGAAGATACGAGTGGACCGGAGCCGGTTGTTCCCCCCCGTCTGTCCCTGGCTTTATCAAATTTATGCACCATTTTCTCCAGTTCTATCGCCGTCACTCAAGCCGAAACTACATCCCTTAGACTACTGGTGGATTATTCGAGAGACATAGTCATGGATCGTTCAACAAATACAATGAAGCTATAGGATCCATTTACCATCACGTTTGTTGCGTTAAACCTATGTAAAAACATCAGCGGTCCGACTCGGGCTTACAGGAGTTGTTTATGCGAAATAACCCGCGGACAGGGGCGTAATGTACAGTACAAGTACGGTACCTGAGCCTTCTCAGTGTTCGGGATTCAAATTCTCAGTATGTATTCCACGCATTGCCGATAAAACGTGAGATGCCGACGTGGGGAAACTACCGCCAATCTAAGAAAGCGTGAGCGGGAAGCGAAGGCTTACCAAAGTGGGTGTCGTATCCTGCACCAATCGCCAATTGGGACAGTACCCAAACCAGATCGGAAGGTGGCTCTATTTCCCGAAAGGGAGTCTCACCACACCAATTCAGATATTGCAGGTACAGCACAACGGTGCTAAGGGGTTCATTGTATGATTGTAGTACGTGCTGAGTCTTTTTGGTCCACGTCCCAATTTCCCTGCTAGTCTAACAAAACATGTAGACAAGAGACTAATGCTGCGAAGAGAATGGTATGTTGTTAGTTAGGGCTCTGGAATGGGTATTCTGCTGGCTTGAAAATTTTTCAACACTAGTGAGTGATGGCACTTTTCTTGTTTCCGTCAAGCTCGATCCTTTACCGACAGTCTCTGAACCGCCAAACCAACCTGCAAACTGCTGCCAGAGCCGGTACTGAGTTAGCACTACAGTTCATTTTCCTACTCCCAATTCGCGAACCACGAATCTCCTGTTTGAACCGCGCTGTTGTGAGGCAAGAGACCCCCTCGAAAGTTACCATGAAATTTCATTAACATGAACTTTCCGCTAGCTCGGAAATCTGCCCATTCTTCCGATAGAACAAAACAACATTCAAGCTCGTAGCCAAGGTATATATCTTCTACCGGTAGCGCATTCGTACTGTACTCGAACACAGGCCGGGTGCAGTAAGTACTCGAATATAAGAGAAATGGGCTGAGACGTTATAATTGCCTCTCGTAGTAAAGCGCTGTTTTTGTTTTCTCTTGCCTCAGCTGAAGGCTGAGTTTACCCTGATTTGCCTACCGTACCCCTATCATAGGGGGGGGTTCAACGACGCTGCACATTTTTCTTTTATTCGAATACTCACGGCTTTAGATTCAGATTTTCCCTAGATTTGCGACCTTGCACAATTGATCTCCAAGGGCCGGAGGTAATAGCCTCGGAAACCCACACTCGCCACAAATGACGAGGTTTCCAAGACTATTCTCGGCGCTGGGGATTTGTCTACTACCGGTACCGGTAGTCTTAGGCATAGGGCTCGTCTGCGGGGCATCGGAGGGGCTTGTAAGATTTGGTTGAAAATTTCGCTGCAGCGAGTTGAGCTAGGAGGTTCCAGGTTAGAGCACTAGTATTAATCACTACTACTTCAGCTCTACTCACTCTTCTCTGTGGGAGCCGTGAGCAAAACGGGAGGATCTGTCAGGGATGTTCATTGAGTACTCGAGTACTGTACCACGTATGATAGGCAGATTGCGACAGGTAGGCTGCTACTGCGCGGTACTGTACTGTGCCTATGTCATAATAGCAATTCCGCGTTACTGTACTGTACCTGTAGGAAAAAGGGCCACGTCCTAGAAAACCCGAAGGAAAGGCTCCATGAAGGATCAACGCCACAAATCTAGCACAAATTTAGTAATACTGTGCTCCGGGTATTGTTTCATAGGTAAGACTGCACTTACCGTACTGCGAGAGCGCGGTACCAGCAGTCCCCGCTCGTTTATAGTGACCCAGGCCGCTTAATTGCTCGGCCCATGGTCTCTCACTTTTCTCCCCATGCACGTACGAGTACACCCCTTCCCCCCCGGGAGTGGCCATCTGCAGCGGAGCGCTGATCGCTTCTCGACGTGCCGTATGCCTCCCTTCGATCCTTACCCCAGACGAGCCCAGTACCACAGCCCGAATCATTCAGCTTGACGATTCGCTATAACCAGGTTTATCCAAACCAAATTTCCATTGCATGTGCCTGAAAGAGCAAGCCTGGTAGGTGACACAAGAGGCACAAGTTGTGAAAAATAGTAAAAGTTTAAGCCCCCCGGATAAAAAAAAAAGGAAAGAGGAAAAGGGAGAGGAGGGAAAATGGTGGTTGGACAAGGAAGATCGTGGAGTGCCGCGCAGAGGGGGGGGGAGAGCACAAAAACCGAGTGAAACATAGCAAATCATATTAGGCCGTGCACGTAACGACGGACAAATCACCTAGAATCCCTAGCTTGATATTCAACTGAGCAATAAGACCGGTCCTATGGTTGCCGAAATTCTGGTTCCTGGGACACTAAGATGCATGAGAACCAGCTCAGACTTCATCGTTGATATAATCTGCCGGATTTCCCGGCCATTCGAACGCTTTCTTGTATTCTTCCCCCCTTTCTCTCTTGACAGCCAAACTAGTTAGTTGTCCTAATCAACGCTCTTCGTCCAACTTGACAAATGGCTCTTCTGTCGCCCCATTTCGAGCTCCAGGAGGTTACGAAGCATGATATGAGCCTAGCGTCTATTTGTTGGGGATTTACACTTGGATTCGGGTTCCTCACGACATGGGAAGCTATTAGGCAAACTATACGGGCTAGAACCCCTTGGAAGTCTATCTATGTGTGGATGATATGGGGTGAGATTTTCGTCTGTCTGGCATTTTCAATTATTTGCTGGATGTATCTCGATGGGACGATAGGACCAAGGTAATTGGGAGTCCCTGATAGCTCCATATAAGAGCACATTATCTATCGACCATTGGCTAACAGATATTCAGTTTTTGGTTTTATTTTTTTATCTGTGGGTTTCCCTCTCACGCAGTCATCTAGGGACTCGTGAATCCACAAAGACCCATATTATACTAACCTGCCTAGTAACACTCTGGGCACTCCAAGTCCAGCTTCTCCTTCAAATTATCATCAACAGAATCACAGTCATTGCAGCAGACAAACACCGCGCGGGACTAATAAAATGGGGGGTTGCAGCCTTGATCACAGCGGTAAACATCTCAGTTTACTGCATCTGGATCCCCGCACGTCTCCAAATATCTCACAGGTGGGTAGTAGCCACTCGAGCCCCACGGAATCCAGTAACTAACAATTATTTTGTGAAAAGATACATCCACATCAATGAAATCTGGGACCGCTGCGAAAAGGTCATATATCTAGTCGTCGACGCCATTCTTAACTGGTACTTTATCAACACGGTCAGGCAGCGGCTCGTCAAGCAGGGCAGTGGTAAATACAACAGACTTGTAAAGTTCAACGTGCGGATTATCTTCTTGTCGTTGACCATGGATGTGAGGAAGCCATATGAACGATCCGGGTGATAAAAGGCTAACATTTCTTCAACAGTGTCTGATTATCGGAACTATGAGTCTTAAGAACGGATTTGTGTTTGTCCTCCCAAATCCCTCTAGAAATATCATGAACTTTAACTAAAGAATATCACCAGCTACATGCAATTCCACCCACTGGCCTACACCGTTAAACTCATGATTGAAATGTCCATGGCAGACCTCATCCGTACCATCGCGCGAGAGAAGAACGAATTCAAGTCCGCCAACCAAAGCTACCAACTCAGTGCCAATGGGAAAAGCCGAGGCCGTCGGGATGGGAACCTCTCACATATGGTCGGAGTAGAAGTCGGAGGTGGGGCGGGTCTTACTTCCGTCTCAGGGGTAGTAGTTCAAAAGGAGGTCATCGTCGAAAGTCGCAGTATGGACCAAGCTAGCGAAGCATCGACTTCGAAAGATAACGTTCATCATCAAGAGCAGGAAGATGAATCACCATTGCGGACTGAGACCTGGGAAGTCAACAGCCCCTAGACGACGATCGCTTCCTGTTTGTTTCTGTTTGTTTCTCTGGGCTTGCCTTAGATGAGATATATACATTTGCAGCTACAATTTTGGTACTTAGATCTCGGGCCCACCTCTTGTTTGCAGGAATAATGATTTTTTTCCTTCGAAGAGTTCGATGTCTGTGTGGGTTTTTAATCTAATATTTGCTGTGCTTATTCAATTCATGTATTATAAGGTTCTTTCAATAAGGTTCTACAATATTCCCTTGATAGAAATGATAATTTCTAGTGAAAAAAAAATCAAAAGGGGATGAGGGGTAACGTTGTCTGCATATGGGAAATCGCTGGTTTCCACCATCAGCAATTCTAGACGCTTTATCAATCGTGTATCGGTGAGGGGCCACAGCCATGCGTGCCTATTGACTCGACCACCCTCCTCCCCCTGGATTACCCGAGAGGAGACTTCTAATGGATAACCACACTCCAAAGATTCCTGCAGCACATTAACCCATACGCAGAGCAGTAATTCCATCAACCTTCCGCCAACCACGAGTGCATTTCAATTCTCACCAACTAGAAACACGAGTGTTGGAATATTACTACTCTGATCCTAGAGGCGTGATTGATCGCCTAAAGGCGAGAGGCCCCTTCCCGCAGTTAAACACCGGTATGCCGGACTCTCCATCCTAGTTTTGGCGGATGATGCAAATGTGGGATGCCGGTATCGGTAATACAGTGTCTACACAAAATCGCCTTCCCGTCGTTCCCACCGCGAACCTCCCTAGAACGAAAACGAGAGTCAAGGCAGGTCCTAGCAGCGCCACCGAAACGAACCGTAAATCTGCGATAAGTAGCAAAACGCGAACCAACCATCCACGCACATAAGATACCTGCCGAAACATCCATCAGTGAACTTGCCATCCTGAATTCAGATCATCCAGTAATTCCTTAACTACTCGCATCCCGAGCCCCAGACCGGCAACTACCCTCTCTTAGTCTCCGCCGGGAGTAAGTTGAAGACCCGTGCTCTCTCGGCAAAGTAAGACACAATAACGCCAGCAGATAACATTATTCTTTGTCTCCCAACACAATAATGTGGTCCTAGTGCTGCTATCGTTCTATGATCACGGGTGATATTGGGTTTTGCGCTAATGGCGGTGGGGAGACTGCAATACAGTAGTTTGCTACTAGAGCTATGGCTCTTGGGCACAGTCTATCCTCCGCCGACTATCATACTGCACAGTTCGGTGAGATATGGGACCCCTGGCGGTGCATTTTAAGTCGAGGATAGTGAAGTCCCTCGTAATTTTACAGCTCGACCAGAATTACAGTCGCACCCTGTTGCCCGGGACCCCACTCTCCCAGATTCCCCGTTTTCCCGGATGAAATCCTCCGAATTCCGAAAATTCCTTGCACAAAAACATAATCTGCTGTCCAGGCCAAATTCTCTGGATTTTGGCAGGATCTTGGCCATCCGGGATAGCGAGGTGCGACTGTGCCCAATCAGAGCTATTTTTGGCCAAGTGAAACCCCCGGCGAAATTACAGTCTGCTAAGCACTTTCCTATCCGGATTTTGATTTGGGAAAATTAATTGCATAATTTGTATGCTTCGTGCGGTTCCAAAGGTGCACCTGCATAATAATATTTCGAATTATAGTCTCCACAACCACCCAACTAATAATAATAATAATAATAAAATCAAGTGCTACTCTCCTTCTTGTTTTCTTTATTCCGTGGGGGTCCTTTTTGAAGTAGTTGGGTGGTTGCAGAGGCTATATAATTTGAAATATTATGTTTCAGGTGCACCTTTTGAACCGCTCGAAGCACATTTTTTTTAGCCCTAATTTGCACCTAATCAGCTCTTAAATATTACTTGTATATATATATTTAATATAAGAGAAATCATTACTCAGTTGTTAATATATTCATTGCCCCGAATCGAAGATATTCAACCCCAAAATTAATGAAATTGTGTTTTCAATTTATGGTTTGAATCCAGGTTGCCATGCACCCCTCGATTTGAAATCAGGATTTCGTCCCAAAATATCATTTAAAATCGTAATCACGTTTGCCAAATATCATATCATACGCATTTAGCTAATCAGAAAACCACTGATTTCAGGTCTTTTGCACACAGTCCAAATCAGCGTGATAACACCCAATGTTTCAAAACGTTGCTCGCAGTGAGTGGATATTCTTACTTGCAGGATCTTGGGGCAATTGAACAGCGTGGGTTGTTGCGTTCTCAAGTGATAAGAATGGCATTTTTTGGTGCAAAATACATAAACGATGATGAGTTATGTGATCATAGCGTGGCTTGATGGATATTTGCGCTATGATACCAATGACGAAGGACAATCGCCTAATTCCGTAACTTCACTGGGCTGTTCTAGTATCGTGCGGGGGTTGTTCCGGATCGGATTTACTCTTGTGCTTTATGCATGCCCCTGGGATTTCTTGGCTGCGGACTGTGCGGGCTTGGTAAGCGCGGGAAGTTCCAGCCTGAAGGAGGTGAATTCATGGTATGTCACTCGATGAGTAGTGGTTCAGGAGAAGAGGGTCAAGTAATCAAACTCTCGGAGAGGCGAGAATTAGAACAGATATCCCGGAGTTTCAACCATTGTTAATGCCAAGGTCTAGCTAAGGCGACATTCACCCCTTCAAACTCTCCCAAAACTCCTCCTCGGTCTGCACATCAACCTTCAAATCGAAAAGCCAGTGACCCTCTCTTTTCTTCCTCTTTGTATTTTCCACCTTCTCCTCGCCGATATCCTGTCGCCCATTCCCTCCCCTGAGAACCTTCTTGTCCTCTGTCTTTGCTCTCCCAGCTCTTTCCTGTTGATCTCCCCCCCTTAGAACCCTCCCAATCAGACAATCCCGAATTTTCCTTAGAATCCAGAAATCCCCCATCGCAGCCACACCAAGCCAGAATCCCAAGTTGGTGACTTTCTCCGAACGCTCGATTCTCTGATTTTCGAAATACTTGATTCCGACAAGCTCAGGATTGACATCCATGCCCTCAGCCCAGGCACTTCTGAGCAAGGCATTGCACAGAACGAGTGACTCTTCAATACCCATCGCAGCGCCCTGCCCATGGAAAGTATTCATCGGATGAGCCGCGTCGCCTATAAGCAGCACGTTCCCATTTGAAATGCTGGGAAAGAAGGTATGATTAATGCGGACTTTAATGAACCTTTCCGAGCGGGATGTGATTTCCGAAAAGTTGACTGTAGGCAGCTTACACTTCTTCGTGGACGCGGTGTACGGGCAGTTATCGTACATCTTTATAGTGTCAAGCGCCTCCCCATCCGTATACCTCCCGCAACCAGTACTCGAGGGCGGTGAAGGTTGGTGGCATATCCAGAACACCCTCCCCTGTTGAAGCGAATATGTAGTGTACGCCCCTGGGACATCACGGAGAAACCAATGCATGGTTCCCAACCCCCCATCACCCCCGTGAGCAGTCAATAAGTGCGCAGGCAACTGCTTCGTAATCCCATACAAAGCGGTCCAGTGAGTTGGCGAACACTCCCAATCCGTCCTCCTGGGTCTCAAAAACTCAATAACCGGTGTGAGAACACTAAACGGAAACATGGTACTAAACGGGCATCTACTCGGCCGGCCCACCTTCCCCGCTAGATTCCCATACATCGCCTCTCTCACATCAGAGTGCACCCCGTCCGCACCAAAAATGTACTTCCCGGAAACTACCTCTCCAGAGGCAAACGTCGCTTCGACACTCCCGTCTTCCAGAGTATTGTAGCTCTTGAAATCGCAATTATAGTGCACCCTTCCGCCCAAGAACGAGTACCGCTGCAATAGCAACAACTGCAACGGCCCGCGCTTGACAGTTTGAAGCGTATGCGGGTCAGGGAATAAATTCTCCGTTTCAACGATGATCGTCTCTGGCTTCGATTCGTGATGCAGGACAGTCCTATTCAGTGGTATGCCCATCCCCTCGCGGACTAGGTCCAAGTTCAAACCGCGAAGGACGTGGATTGCGTTTGGGGAAAGGTGTATTACGAAGCCAGATTTTGAGATATCTCCGAGGGATGAGGACTTTTTCTTTTTTTTCCCATGTTAATATTTGGAGAGAGGCCTGAGGCGGCGGGGGGGGCAGTGGTTACCTTCTCGAAAATCACCGGCTCGTAGTATGCTGCCGCGTGAGTTAGTAACTGGATGCCTAGCGATAGTCCTGTCAACCCTGCCCCGATAATCAACACTCGTTGTCTCTTATTCTCAAGCATTGCGAAGTAGCCCGACTTGCTTGCTTTTCCCGCGAGTGGGAACGTGAGTTGAGGACAGGTGGGTTGTTAGGTAGATAAGTTGATCAATGTTTCACAGGGGAAGTGTCACGGGTGCGACGAAAGGTTATTGGGCGAAGGTGGGTTATACCATGTTTGAACACGGAAAGGCCGTTTTTACAGCGCCCGGTTTCCCGCCTATCCCAGGGCGCAGCGGTAAAGGATGAGGGTTGAATGTTGAATACCATCCGAGTGATGGATAGTGAGTTGGTCTAGAATCTTTTTTGTTAACGGTTTTTTTTTTTACAAATAGGGAATCGCCATGCGTAGCTTCTATATCGGGTTAACTAGTAGCGGCCCCTGGGTAGCAAGTAATTGCCTTAGAACAGAACCGGTTGAGGAGGTCCTCGGCATCCAAGTGTGGTTGTCTACTATTGGCAACTTAGTCAGATAATGTTTTCGCTGCTCGTGCAGACCAGGAACAGATTGCCTAGTTGAGGGAGCACCAAGCCGAAAACAGGAACTACTACGCTTAGTGCAGTCTATAATATTCATAGGTAAGCCGCTTGGGTCCTGTTTTACACCAAAGGAGATAACCAATTTGCAACTCTCTCATGTTCTCAATCTCTCGAGAGAATAGAAGAGCTTTTGAAAGTACTGTACAGGCAAAAATGTAAAAGCATCCAAAGGTTATCACGTCCATCGCAAAATCCAATCCCTCAATCCCACCTCTACACCCCCCTATCGGAATTTAACTCTCCGGAAACCTGCACTCGACCTTTGCACTTGTCATGGGGGTAAGGGAAGCAACAGCATAATAATATTATTATTGTTAAATACTGCAGCGCCCGGCGGTCTCGATAAACTCGGGAAGTCATCGGCCCTGGTTACTGGTTTGATAGCATTTGTTAAATATCAATGGAATAGAATCTTCTGATATTCATCAACACCTCGGAACCGCATAATGTGACTGCCTAGACAGGTTATTTGTGGGAGTACCTACATTTCTTCCAGCTCATTCCATTTCTACCCGCCAAGGGTCTTGGCACACAATTTTGGGCAACTTGTGCACCATTAAATCTACGAGTATCATATCTGTGCTTGGATCAGCGCCCTCTGACTCGTCAGACATTACAAATCGACCCCACCTTCCTTCTGCCCATATAAATTTGTCGACCGACTCCCCAGCCCTCTTTCTCATCTTTCCACCACCACCCCGCCCGGTGCTAGGGCGCCGGGGGCAACTGCAAGAAAAACTTCAAGGAAAAAAAATACTTCATGTCCCAATAATACCAACTCTTTCATTACGAGTCTCGATACGAAGGCTTTCAATCAACAACAATACCAACTCCTTCGATACGAGCCTCGATATGAAAGTCTCGAACAACCCTTCTCCTGACGAGAATTTTGAAACTCCTCTATGGCCGCCCCCGCCTGAGCCCCGCATACGACATCAGGACATTCAACCCGCCGAGGCTGACCCCGTTGGGGAATGGCTCTTACAAACCGACGAGCCCGTCGAAGCGGTACTGGCGAAAATAGATCTGATAGCCCTGCCTTGTTTTGCTATGGCGATCCAGGGGTTGGGAAGACTTACCCGGGGGTCGGGAAGACTTAGGCGTACATCAGGTAAGAGACGATCCTCAAAGAAGGGCGGGGGGGCGAACAAACGAGCCAAGGGCTAACAAGCAATGTTATAGTTCCCTGGTGATAAACGACATAGTCTATTGGGTCAGAAGACGGAGTATTGCAGTTGCCCGTTTCTACTTTGATTTTCACTACCTAGAAAGAGCAGTCTCCGACGAGTCTACCAGGCATGGCCTGGTGGATTGGAAAAGATTCCGGAAAAAATATTCCAGGCTTTTCAAAACCAGAAAAAGGTTATCCGGATCACCGAGTCAAGCTTCTTGATTCGCTAAGTCAAATTCTCCAAAAGTCTCCAGGCACTCGAATATCCGGATTCATGACTGGAAGACCACATATCCGGAGTGATCCGGGGTGAGATTGAGAAGCATCTTCCTGGAAGAGTAACGATTGTGTCCATAAGGCCGGAGGCAGATACCTTTTCCAAAACCGTATGTAAAATCAACCACAGCGCGAGAACTCCACTTTTGACATGTCGGCTGACAGCTTCATGCATGTAGACTTTTTTACAGGATCCTCTAAAACCGGTTAGCCGAAAATGTTCCTTCGATAGAGACATTGCTAGGCTGCTGCCAAGGGCTCATCGCCATGGAGAAGGACTCTTCGACTGCCCGTTTTGTCTATTTTACTCTGCAAGAATATTTTAAGTACCCAATACAACACGATAATACGCCGGTTCCCACATCCCAGACAACCACGATCGAATGCCACGGAGCATGATCACGATGAAGGGCCGGAACTGTTGGGGGGTGCGAAAGGCTATTGCCCTAGAATCTTCTGGGGCGGAAGGGCACAAGGTTTCTTCATGTATTTGAATGTGGAACATGATGTACTCTCAATAGCCTCATAGATAGATTGGTTAATTTCAATACCAACTACTATCTGATTATGGTTTAACTGTCTAAAAAGCGTGATACTACTGTACCATGCGCTTGACTGTGTATATTACGGCGTAGAGTGGACCCAACCAAATAAGCCCTTCCAAAGCGCGCATTATATCGCTAAGCCCTGTTACGAAGAACACCCTATTGAAAATGCTCACTAGTTTGTTTCAGACATCGGCCGTCAACGAAACTGAAGTACTCTGCCGGTAGCAGAGTTGGGTTCCATCGGGCAAAGAGGCTCATCGCCTGCAACGTACGCGATTACAGCTTTCTCTTACTCCAACCGCAGGAAACAAGCTCAACCTATTACATAGACTCCGCATCGGCACACTTTATACGCATCTTATTTCCAATAGTGGCTTTCATTCACCGTGCTTAAAGCCGGATCCGCCCATAAGAGGTTTACACCGGTATTCGCTAGGCCAAGTAGAAGTCCCGAAATTGACGAGGTGGTCAAAACCCCATACGCTGGACCATAGTCTGTTGGTACAGGGTAGCGGGCCAGCTTGGTTATCCTCCCAAGGTAGGTGCCGGGACACTGTGGGGAACACAAGTACGGTAGCCTACGGATAGATCCCACAAAGCGCGCTGACCGCCCCGCGACGCGGTCAACGTGTGTGTCTTGGTCTCCATCCTGTGTTTATGCGGACCTCTTGTTAAATCCCTCTCATCAAGAATCACTTCAACGCCCTGCGCTCAGAATGCTACCATTGGTAAAACCCTACCATCTGCCGGCCCGAATCCGATGGGCTTCCAACCAAGCCTGTGAGCAGATATCCACCCCTTGCAGTACGCGAACACATCTTTGCGCCATTCCATAGCTCCACGATGGGCGTTTCAGATACCCGTCTCTCAACTTAAGGAAGGCTGCTATGAGAATTTCTGAGCCTTCTCTCCGGAGCATGGCAAACCTTATCGTTTTCCTAGCCTTGCTTCTCTCTCCCTGAGGCTGTAGAGCAAATGATAAGAGTCCTCGGGGAAAGGAGGACCTGCAGAATACTGCACGTACCACCTCAGTATTCCGGCATTGAGTTTGATTGCTTGTCACCTTGGTGTCTGAGACCCTTGGCTCGCCCCCCGTCCAAGGCTGTGGGGGCACTTGTCTTACCTTTATCCCAGTCGGGAGCCTCATCCCCGTCAAAGAACCTTTCTAACTTTCCAGAACACTGTCTCGGTCAGGCCGGGAATGCACTTGCGGCACGGGAATATGGTGGATCTAAGAAGAAATATTCACTCGTTATCATCGGCCCAAGCCTGGTGAGCTCCGTCTTGGCCTTCTAAAAAGCAAACTGCCAGCACTCACTTCTCTAGGAACTTTTTGTGCGAATGAGGCTCAAGGAACCACGTGAGACGAAAACTTCTTGTATATTTAATGCTCCAAGGAAAACAATAGCTATAGTCCAGACAAGGAAAGAAACCAAATGCACTACAAAGAAGTAAGTCCCAACCCTATTTCCAAAAAAAAAAATACCCATGCTCATGTTTAAGGCCCAGAGCTGTAGAGCTTCCACGCACTCATTGTAGCCGTAACTGCCAACCCGATCTGCCCGACATAAAAGAACGCACCCTTGTACCTCCCTTTTCCGGTGCCGTTGTGCTCGCTGCCGGCGTAGCCACGAGCATACGCCACTCTGCCAGCAAGCCAGATACCCAAGAGCGAGGACGAGGCGATGGGGTAGTGAAGCGCTGAAGCGAGGAAAGCTGGTAACACGACAGCAAGGTTCTCGAGGTAGTTTGAATGTGCACGTTGAGCGCAGTTGAAGCGGAACTTTTCCTTGTCCTTGGAGGCGTCCTCGGCACTCGCATAGGCGTTCGGGTATGGGACCTTTGCGGCCTTGCGGATACCGCCAACCAGAATAGTGTGGTATTGGCTCACCAAGGATGCTGCGAAGAGACTGGCGAGAACATAGCTATGGTTGGAAGATTAGCATCCGAATGGACCGTGATAGGGAATGAAGGAATCACCTGTACTCCTGTGGGACGGAAGAGAGTGGCATGGTGTGAATTGGTTACTTGTTATGGTGGAGGGTTGAGATGGAGGGGGCTGATTTGAGAATTGTTGCTTTGCTTTCTATCAAGGAGGAGGCGGGATACATCCTCCTTTTTATCACACTCTCTGCCGTCTCCCCACAGGGCACTACAGGACACCTTTCGTCACCACCTTGCTCTACCCCTCGATACTCGGACGACTGAAGCAGGGAAACGATCATACTGTATCTTTCCGCGGCTAAGGACCACCCTGTTTCACCAGAGACCAGGATGCTTTGGTTCTGGAAGGTTCCGAGTGAGAAAAAACGCGCAAGAGCCGGCCCGGAGTTGTAACCTACCGGTACAGGTATGGGGGTTTTGGTTATTTAAATCGGGCGCGGACAGATGCAATCGTCCGTTCGGTGGAGAAGACTGTGGAGCAGGCAGGGTATTATACGAGTAAATGCAGTGCAAGTACGAGTACATGGAGAAGGTGTGGGGAGGGGGAAGATCTTCTGCGGCTCTTCATAGTTTCAGGATTACATAGGGTAGTCTACCTACTGCCTTCTGTAATGTTTACAAGTTAGATGAAAAAAACAATTAAAACAATAGCCCCCAAAAGTTTACATCCAATCTCATATTTCGTGACAATGGTACTCCACAATAATTGCACGAATAACGGATACAGCACTATCCAACACGGACATTGTAGCCTACCCACCGATGTGTATCCTATCGGCAAACCCTACCCACCCGTATCGGCCGATAGCATCTTATCATAAAAATCAACCGAGGACAAAAAGCACAATTTATATTAATCTCAGGGGAGACCGGCAAACCAACGGCACTGGTACCGTTCCGTACTATCCTGTGTTGGGCCCTCACATCACATCACCTCACCTCACTCGCCCACGGACGAGGGGCCCACAACTGCCCTTGCGGTATGATACTCTCTTGCCCTGCCGCCCCAATTGGCTAAAATCGCTTGAACACGGAATTCCGTTGATGTGCTATTGTGTGCGACTAGAGTACGTACGCAGGTTGTGCCACCTCTCTCGGGGGAATCGATTGCTCCTTGGCCCGAGGCGGTCAGTTGTTCGTTCGTTTCCCGTTTTTGGCCCTACGGTGCGATAGGCATTGGTGTTATAACTACTGTATTTTTTTTTATTGTTTTATTTTTTTATTTTCGCTGGCGGGGTGAGGTTCCGCCGAGGGATTGTGAAGGGGGGGTCCTTCTTACTGATACAGTAGACCTTTGTACCGGTATTTGGACTTCCAAGTGTCAGGCGTTAATTGGGATTTTAAAATTTCGTCCTTTTTTTTTGGTGCGTTTTAACAGATTCACTTCCCCGTCTGATTCAATACTCGGGTACGTTATCTACGGTACGAGACTGCGGTGAAAAATGATGGGCGGTGTATGGGTTTTCTGCTGAAAAACCGCCATACCAACGACTTTCCAGCCAGTGGTCCAGTCGAGCAAATCCAAACCGAATCTTGACCAATATATGAAATAATTCCCTAGATTTTACTTTCCAATCCTTTGGCACTGCATATCTGAACTGGCTGTGGAATCGTTGAGAGCTATGGTTGGTTCGTTGGTCTTGACGCAATTCCTGGTATCATAGTCTTGTACGAGTATGGGGAACCGCAAGGCTTGGTGCTGTTTGAAACTTCAACTTTACCTGATTGCATGCTAAAGTACTGGTAGCTAGAAATTCTTTAATAATATGTGAGCACTTGTCGAGGCATGTATTCTATCAATTTTTTTTAAGTTTTTTACAGCTTCGGAATGTATTGAATGGAAAGCGTGAAGTAGCATGGTTTGGGTTGTTATGTCTATGCCATTCTGCTCACCATTTTTGACGCCTGCCTCGCACAAGGCACAAGCTGCTTAAGTACAGGCACCGTACTGTACATCTATGTTTTCGCAGAAAGGAGGGATTATTTTTTACTGGCTAATCTAGATTAACTGTTCATACTGTAGACTTTCAGCCGGACACTTGCAAGCCCGAATCTCTCGTTTTCTGGGGGAAAAAAATTCGAGCGGGAGCAGTTAGTGCTTTCCTGAAATGGGATAGCCTGAGCCTTCTGGATTTGTTGGATCTCATTAACTTGTAGTTTTTCGCAATTCTGCAAACTTGTCAATTAAACCTATCGTGCGCCGATGCGGCTATTTCCACCGAACATTCGCTGGCAAATGGCAAGTTTTTTTTTTAGAACGCTTCTAAGGATCTATGACAGCCTCCTCTTCAATTCGTCCTTCACCTCTTTCACTTCCGCTTCCAACCTTTCCAGTCTCTTGAGCACCTTAAGATCATCACCCTCCCCCGCACCAGCAGAACTAGGCTTCGGAATCTCCAGAACTTTTCTCCCCCCCGCCCTGGGAAAAGTCTCCACAGCGTCCTCCTCAATAACCCTAACAACCCTTGCCGGATTCCCCGCGACCGCGCATCCCGGCGGGACATCCTTCGTAACCACGCTGCCCGCACCAACCGTGCTCCCACGTCCGATCCTCACGCCCGGCAGGATAGTGACGTTCCCAGCTAGCCAGCAGTCATCCTCTATTGTGATGGGCGCGCCGTACTCCGGCCCGCGCAGTCCATCCCGCGCCTTCGCGCTGAGCGGGTGCGCAGCAGCGAAGAGGCAAACATTGGGTCCTAGAAGGGTGCGCGCACCGATGGTAACTTTGCACGTGTCTAGTATTATACAGCCAAAGTTTATGAATACGCCGGGTGATATGGTGGTGTTGTAGCCATAGTCGGCCATGAAGGGGGTTTCTACCCAGGGTTCCTGGGATAAGGTGGAGGAAGGGGTGGTAGGGGGAAGGGGGGGTTGGTGTAGGATGCTGGGGTGCAAGTTAGCTCGGGGTGGTAGGGAGGGAGTTAGAGGAAGTAGTACGCTCGGAGTAGGTTTGCACGCTCAAGATGCGGCATCCCGTGCGTGACTTTGTTGAATGCTCGGCAGGCTGCCGCACAGGAGGCTCGTTCCGCCACTAGCTCGTCGCCGAAGGCATGATAGAGCTCCCCCGCAAGCATTTTACTTTTCTCCGTGCGTTCGGACATGCTTCTCTGTGGATTACTTGCCGTGGTGTAGCTTGGGATTGTGGAGTAGGATTGTGAGGGTTGATATTGTGAGCGCTTCCCCTGCATGAAGGCATTACCGCTGTTTTATCAAACCGATTTTAATCCACATTTCCCCACCATTCTATTTTACATATGCAGCCAAGCATTGACTCGTACAATCCACTATTAGGTATCGTAGAAACTTGAACTATTGGACTGTGTGCTATGCAACTAGGCTTTCTCTCAGTAGAGTCAAGAAAGAAAAATTTTCCGCTCCCGAAGAGGGAAAGGAACTGTGCTTTTCCTGTGTTTTTCGCCCTTTTTCCCAGAGAAGGGAACTCTGGACTTCATAACACTGGTTCAACCATCCGAGTGTTTACAGTAAGCAACGGAGCTAGACTACAATAGGCTTAGCTGATCAAGTTGACAAAATTACGACCACCAGTCAATCGGATCCGGCAGCTCAAGCAATACGGCGTCAGGTAAACACCATTTCATCTCGAGATGTTTGGTCCCTGAATGCGGATATTAGAGGCCCGACGGGGGCGGTTGACCTTGGCAGAAACGGCGACCTGTGGCACGTTATTGTCAAAGTCTAACCCTAAGGAGCAACTTTCTTTTGAATCCTCGCTAGCGTTGAGCCACATTTCATTTTGACTATCATACTTTGGGTGGTGCAGACACCGCGAAACTCAAGCTCCTTCAAATTAATCATTTCTTCTCACTCGAGACATTGGGCGACTTCCGGTAGCCCAAACCCCTTGGACAAGTGTATCACTAGAGAAGTTCCAGTATGATTCGACTGCGAATACTTTCTAGTTACGGAATTTCCACTTCATTAAACTCATTGCCCTGTCATCCCCTAGTTTGTCATATACTGTGTGACAGAGAGGGTGGGTTCCGCAATTCAACACATTTGTTTCCATACCTCAGGCCTGACCTGACGCATGGTATGATAATTTATGCAACCCCTCAATTACCTCACCCTTCCCACACACAAAGCGCGGAATTTTCCCACTTCCCCTTCAGGGCGAACGATCTCGATCTGATCGACTACCGGTACTCGAGCACTGTGCTGCACTCGAGTACCCGCAGAACTTACAAGTAGTCTACTGGCACCTTCCCCCGTTTCACCCATGGTGCCTGGATGTGGTGTCTTGCGGAAGATGGCAGATGGATACAGGTTGTTCCATATTGTACCCCGTGCACAGGGGGTCTACAGCACGGAGGAGGGAGTGCAATGCAATTTAAGCGCTGGCACAGTTAGAACGAGTGCGGGTGTGGTGGCGCCGAGATTGGTGGGTTGAGTGAGTGAGGCTGCTAATATGACAACAAATTTTCCGTTCCTGAGGTGCCACACAAAAATCGAGGCTTGTACTGGAGTAAAGGTTAAATTACGACAACGAGCAATGTAATGGTACGGCCCGGATTGTGCTATTCTGCACGTTGAACAAGTGGAGCGATGGGCGAAGAACTGAAAAGTGCTCGAGTATTCTTATTTTGCACTTGACCATCTCATATACTTGAGTAGTAAGGCCGTGTCAGGAAAGAGTTAGGCGAGGGTGAGGCTGCGGAGATGGATCGATGGAGTAGGTAGAGATGGGGGACTTATTTTCATCACTCCAGGAAAACCCCAGATCCACAGGTTGCCGCTCTAGTGCTTGGTCCGTGCATGATCCATGTTGATCTTGGGGGTTTTGAAAATTTCTTTGCTAGAGAGTGAGATGCCGGCTCGGTCAAATTCATACTAGGTTATCACACTGCGCAGAGTATTTTCCATTATCGTGATAATGCAGCGAAATCCAATGTGATCGAGTATGCGCCTATGCCTCCGCCCACCAAAAAGGTTGTATCATTTTGCACACACACCATCCATTCCGCAGTAACAGCCTCAGCAGCCCGAGCAGCCTCAGCGTCCCCACAGCCTGTGAGTGGCCAGGCCAGCGAATCAGCCGGGCAACCCATTCAGATTCAGTCAACCAGTCCAGGAGACGAAGGCCCACACAGCCAGCCGCCAGGAGTGAGGAAAACTAAAAAAATAAATAAAAAGAACCCTATTCGAGATCCAACCGGACCGCGCAAACAGCGAAGCATTCCTCCTCATTACCCTTCTCACTCTCCGTGTCGTCTGTTTCTACAACACCGGGAAAACATCGTCAGAGCGAATATCCACAACCATCTACCATCCGCCGACTTTCGTTCCCGAACTACAGAGGGGTCACGTTAATCCGATCAACCGACCAACCCCCTCCACCCCGCAGCTCAACGGTCGTTATGGCGAGTCGGTAAATTCATCTTTCACAACATCGTCTCTGGATGCACATTCCAGAGAACTTGTCCTTTCTCACCGGGAAGGGAGTAGACGACGACAACGACAACGGAGATCACCACAAACACAACCGTTACCCCAACAAAAAGAAAAAACTCGAGTCAATCGGTTAGTTGTCTGCGTCAACCACAACAACGGCAACTTCCTACACCACGAACGAACCACGCGGAGGGTAGATAATTGCCGTCGGTCGGTCACCGGGTGGGGGAAGTGGTGGGATATTGAACCGGCAATCTGGGGATTTCAACTGTTTTTTCATCGGTGGCTACCCGCTCTTTCCGACTATTCTGGCTCTCAACTCCCCCCCCTTTCGAAACGGTCGGGAAATTAGGGCAGGGAAAACACAATAGAAGGGGGTATTATACCCCTCATTGTTTGGAAGCAGTGCCCAACCTTTTTTTGGGGGGGGGAAAGGGAAAATTATATATAATTTTCCTCCAGTTTTATCGAGGCATTGAAGCGAGCCGAAGCCCAAGGACATCTTGGTTTGGGGGGAACGGGGGGTCGGCGCAGTTTGCTGTAGAAACTGGTTGGAGAAAGGTAAAAGGAGTAAAAAGTAATAAAAAAGTCCGGGCGTGGAGAACCAGTCAGTCATCAGCGGGGCTCATCTTCATCCATCAGGTCCGTATGTGTCATGATTCCAATTTCTCCATTCACTTTCTCTTTATTTTTGAACAATTCTTGCTCTTGGATCTTTATTCTCGATTTTATATTGGTGTTTTCAAGAATTTCTTTTCTTTTTTCGTCATTGATTGTGATGCGCAGCCTCATTTCACTTTGAATTTTGCACCCCCAGTCTCTGAGATCTCTCTTTCCCCGACCAACGCCTTCCCTGCGCCATTTCTAGAAGACAGATCCACGCCTGCCTGCCCAACTGACTGGCTTGGTTGCGCACTTTCTGTTCTGTTCGTGGGGGTGCGTGAAACGTTCTGACCTTCCCTCCCGAGCGAATGGCGGTTCGCCTAGAGGGCATTGCTTGTATCCCAACTTCATATATCTGCTCTACTTCTTCATCTCAACTTTTTTCCTCCTTTTCCTTTCCCTCAGGCCACCTTCACCATTCCCCACTCAACAAGAGCACCGAAAAACTGGCTGACATGTCAAAGAACCGGGGGAGTAGTAGATCTCTACAAACTTTAATTCGGTCGGACACCAGCCATTTCATCCAATATTTCCCTCGACAAGCACTGTAGCGCTGTGAGGGCTCTCTGGATGCACTTCGTCGACGGGTTCTTTCACGATGTGCTTGCCTGCTCCCCGCCGCCGTGCACCTGCTCCAGCACAAAAAGGCAAATCACCTCTATCCTTTTCTTCATCGGGCTCGTCCGCGGGTTCGGATCCGCCTCTCTCCCCCCGAAAACACCGACGGGGGGGTCCCATCACTGCATCGACATCGAGCGATTTGCCCATACGAGTGGCAAAAGGTCCGCCTCCCCAGCCACTGCGAACAAGCGCGCCACTGCCCGCGCGGAAATCGTCGACTAAGAAAAGATCAAGGGGTGGGTCTGTGAATGGGAGTACAAGTGAGAGTGCGGTGGGGGGTCCGCCGAGTCGGCGGTCGTCGACGAGAGGGCGGGACTCATCAAGGTTAGCCCCGGCGAGTCCAATGGTAGGGCCTGGGGGGAGGTCGCCAGCAATGTCTACCCGGTCAACGAAAAATACCCCTACCCCAAGTCCGACAAAGCGATCGTCGTCACAACGCAGATCTTCCTCGAGAAGTAAATATTTAGAGACACTAGGCTCGCAACAATCGAGCTCAAACTCCACACCACTTCCATCGCCACGAATTCCTTGGGAAAAAAGGGGTAAGGATAAGAGCAAAAGAGAGATGGATATAAAGCCTGGAGATCGAGTCATCGCGGCGAGGGTCCCAATGGAGGGTGGGGGATCTATTTCCGGTTTGATGGTCGTTCGGCCCGGAAGTAACCGACGGGGAAGCGATAATGGGAGCCATAAGAGCGAGAGCTCGAAGGGTAGTGAAGTTGGAGACATTCAGCCGAAACGATCGGCAAAGATTGCAGCTGGTCCTCCTCCAATTGGCCTCGGTATTACAATGATGCCTCCTCCCTCAAAGGTGGTGGGGAGGGGGTCGCGGGAGTCAGAGGTTCAGGCTCGCCCAGCAACACTGCTAGTTCCCCGGATATCTGTCGAAGCACCCCCTACCCCGGTAGTCACTCAACCAGTTGTAACCCCTGCTCCTCTGGCTGCTTCGACCTCGGCGCCCACGGCAGCTCCAGCGACTCTTCAGAAATACCCAACAATTGCAAAAATGTCATATCCTACCCCAGACCAGTTTTCATATAAGCCAATTGACCGGTCTCAAATTCCTTCAACAAACTTCCCTGGAAAGGTTATGGTTGCTCCAGTTCTTACTCCCGTTGTGGCCTCGGCGCCGGTGAAGGCCCCGCAGAGGGCCCCGCAGAAGGTCCCGCAGAAGGCTCATGCTCCGGTTGTTGTGGTCGCCCCACCTGTCAAACCGCCACCGACGAGCAAAGTACCCCCGGGTCAGCCCCCTGTGGCTAGAGCGCCTGCGAACCTTCCATTACCAGCTACGGAGCCTCAACCCCCCCCAGCTCCTATTGAACGGCCAGAATCCATTGCGTCATCAATCTCTTCGTGCACAACCACAACCTCCTCATCATTATCAACATCGTCAACGGCGTCTGAGAAACCAACGCCTCGGCAAATCACCTACTCCCCGCACCCAGTTTCATCCCCTGGCTCCTCCAGTTCCTCCCTAGTGAGTGTCTCTTCAGCCGGCTCGTCCTCGACGACAACCTCGTCTGCACACCCACGTCATATCCCATCGTCAGAACCTATTGTTCCAGAAATGTCAAGTAGAAAACCGGCATACTACAGGTATGCACCAAAGAAAGACACCTCACAAAAGCGAATAATGGACTCCCCAGCGTTCCCCCAAGGCGACGAAGCAGTTAAACCCCGGAAACCTGCAGGGCCCTGGGACGGAAGACCAGGCGCAGACCCAAACCTCGGAGCCTACTACCGTACTGCCGAAGCCGAGAAACTAGAACAGTCGAAATCTCACTTGAGCTCGGGAGAGACTTGGGTGGACGAAGCTAATATAGCAAACTACTATAAACAGGCTGACGCACAAAAGCGTAAGATGGCTCTGGAAAAGATGAAGAAGGAGCAGGAATATTCAGACAACGAATCCATAGCTTCTTCGTCTGTCGTCTCATCTGCCGCTTCATCAGAAGCGTGGGTAGACCCGAACGTGGCGGTGTACTACCGCCACGCCGAATCCGAGAAAGAAAAGAAGAAACAGCTGGAGCTCCTAACACCAAAGAAGCAGCAACCGGCACCAAGACCAGGAGACGAAAAGGCCCTGAGAGTCTATTCCTCTCCACCTACCCCCGCTATTAGCAGCCACCTCCCATCGCCGGGCATCCGCCTCCGGCACGTCCGCGGCGGTCTATCTTCCCACCCCGTGCCCCCACCAGCGCCCACGCCCCCACCGCCTGACACCACAGACACCGAAACCCTCGGCGACACGCCTACTGAAAAGAAGCCTGGACCTCCAAAGGGTGCGGCAGAAGCATGGTTTCAGGCTTCAATGGCGGCAAAGGGTGAGAGTGCGAGCGATTATTGGAATTCGTCGAGGTCGACTATTGAGAGTCCTGAGGAGGAGGTTGGGGGAGAGAAGGTGGAGTTTCCAGAGGGATTACCTCCTGCACCGACGCCGCCGTTGAGCCGGGAGGATACCCCTGCGGGGGCGATGGGAGAGGGGTCTTATTATCCGGCGGCGGCGGGGTATAGGGAGGAGAAAAAGAAGGGTTATCGGAGGTGATCTCCTTGGTAATCGTGGAGACTGAATGGACGTCGGATGGTATATTACAACAGCTTAGTTCTTTTCCTATCTGTTGGGGGTTTATGTGAAATGCTGGAGGGGAGATGGTTTCTTTCATCATCTTCCCATTCTTAATTATCTTTTTCTCGCTTCTTTTTCCTTTCCAGATTGCGTTTGTCTGTGGATCATGCAATTTACTTTGGATATATAGCGCTGTGGGCATTATTATTCCCTAAAATTTTTCTTTTTTCTCCCATACTCCCTTCTACAATTGGCGGGTGTGAAAGTAGAGGTTTATTTCCTACTTTTCTTGCCTTATTTTCGTTTTGCTGTTTCGATTTGTTACGACTGATGAAGGGCACAATTATGGGATTGATTACTGGCTGGTTGGGCTCGGTTGGGGTGCTAGGTTGGGAGGATATCGGTATGCAAGGGATCGGTTGGTGCGATGCTGGTGTTAAGTGTTTTTATTATTTCCTTGCCATTTCCATCCATCTCATCATTTCCTCATTTCATCTCATCTCACCTCGCCCGCACACCCTGCCTGCTTCACAGAAAAAAACCAAATCCCAAAATCCCATTAGGGATAGCGACACTGTTTGTCACTAGACTGATTTATTTTCCCTTCTTTTCCTTTCATTGACAGAATTTGGCGTTTAGCTGGTGTGTTGTGGATGTTGGAGGGGTGTTTCTTTTTTCCTCGAAGATTGTGGAATGAGGCAAAAGTGGAGGTTTTGCCGTCTTTGAGGGAAATTTGTGCTGAGAATGATTCGGGTGTGTGTGAACGATGTGTAGTATATTATGTTATGTATTGTAGTATAGCATGAGTTATGAATTGAGGGTGTACATGATGCTTCTGTGTTCGGTGTGGTTGGAGTGGAGTGGAGGTGTAGGTGGGTGTGATAGGGTCGTAGAAGGAGAGCATCCTCGAGGAGGAATCGGATCGGAACTAGATTCACGCACAACTGCCGAGTGACCCTGAATGATCCACTATCCCACTAGATAAGCATTCTGCTCTGCTCCACTCTACCTACTAAAGCCACCCCCCTACCCTCAGTCTTTACTGTCTCCGAGTGCAGTATCACTAGTGCAGTATCATTGGGCTGATGATACGGTCAGGTCTGTCACCTGGCCCGTGCGCTTTCTCATTTCTTAGCGACGAGAATTTATTTGCGGGGAGTTCTCACGAAGGGGCTGTCTTGCTCGTTGTGTGGGCGCCCCAGTAGACGCATTCGGCCCCGTAGTTGGGAAATGTTTATGCAAGTCTTTCTCGAATCGAAAGTCTCTGGCGTGTGCGATGCTATTTTTGGACACTGAGCTGGCAGATTTGCTCGGGACTTGGCGCTTGGGAAACTTTTTTTCGGCCCCGGGGTTGAATGCCTCTATTGTACGGTACTGTAATCGCGTTTCCTAACAAGCCGTGCACTGACCGAGTGGCAAGTTTGGTCTTGTCGGCGGTCTAAGGGTCCCTGGACCCCTCCTACGATATGACATGACATGACGTGACATGTGACTGCTGTAACTCCGGGAGGAAGGCGCGAGGTTTGGATTAAGCTTACCTTGGTGCAGTTTTGTCGTGGGGAGGGGTATCATACTTTGAGGGGCCGAGTATGATAGTACTGTATGGTAATGACATATGTCGAGGATAGTGGAGTGGAGGGCTGTAGTAAGGGTTGATCCCCCCCGCTCGACAGTTTTGATTCATGGGACGATATGTACGAATACTTGCTGTTGCGGGTATGATAACTTGGTAGCCGAGCACGTGTATGGTGGTGATCTTGCATTTTACGAGACAGGTATTACTTTTGTTTTTCTTTTCGTTATCTGCCCCTCGTTATTATTGGTGAAGGTTCTAGATGGCTATTGATTGATTGAGATAGATTGTGGAGGTTTCAGGAGTCTGCCGGAGAGTTCAGAGGTTCGATCGACTAGTGTGGAGGTTCAGAGATTGACTGGAGATTCTCCAGACATGTCTTTCCTTTGTTATCACGGAAAGGGTAGCATGCTTGGAGAGATACGGATAGGTGTGGTGATTCATGGAATGGTTAAGATACATTGTTTATGTTTTACTTACACACCTGTCTTTACCATTAGTTTAGAAACGAACGAAGTCATTTTTCCTTACCTCTCACTCTTGTATACATCCTGTGACAGTTCCAACATAGTCCTTTAGTTTTTCTCTCTATCGCTGCGCGAGTCAATCATTGACTACTATGCCCACTCATAAGAATTATTGGGGTGATGCCTTGGCTTGCACTCGGCCAGTGCTTGGAATAGGGTGTCATGGTGGATGGGACTATAGAGAGCTGGGAGTTGGATGAATTGACGAGATCTGTGCTATATAGGTAAGGACATGTGGTGGTGGTGGTGGCGGTGGTGGTGAGTGTATTTTTCGTGATTCTGTAACTTGTGGTTTCGGTGGAGTGAGTGGGATGAGAGGGGAGGAGTATGGTTGAGCAATATATTTGCATTAAATTTTGACGTTGTGGTTTCCGGTCGATATATGGGCCTGACAGGTGATAACTGGTTGGTCTGGTGCAAGGACTCCCGTTGGGCCATGAGGTTCGATCCCCGCCTTGGCCCAGACTATCCGACAGTGAGCCCAGGACGAGCTGACTAACCTAGCCCGGCTCGTTGGGAGTGCTGGGAATGGGCGGTGGTACTCTATCTTCTTTTCCTAGGGGTGAGGGGTGTATGTGATATGGAATGTGAGTTGATATGCTATGCGATAGTTGAAGTTTGGAATGGAATCAACCATTCGGTGTTTAGTGTTCATATCACGCCTGCAGCTTGCGTGTTGCTGCGAGAGTAACCCCCTTCATGCATGATTAGTGCTAATTAGCATTCGGTGCAATAGAGTCAGAAAGTTTGGGTAAAAGTGTAAAGGTTATTGCCTAGAAATATAACAACAATGTCATTATAAAGTAAATCACGTCTCCCTATTATTCAAACATGTACTTTATTGATCTAAAATCCTAGGAAACTTGGAGGGCGGAGACTACAAGGCACTCAACACTGTAAAATTAGTAAGTGGGCGTTCCTCAAATGCAATTATGGTCTCGAACGATGGTCTTCAAATTCGGAATTACTTTTTTAAACCCTAAAATCAGATTTCTGTGAGATCATGATCTGAAATTCTAGGTCGCCAAACACTTCCTCTAATTTCACTCCAATTTAGATTATTAGAACATGTGCCGGTCTTATTAGTTCTATTCCTATTCAGTGATCTCAAATTCAAGAGTGTTGGTTGATAAGATGGTTGGATATTTTAGAGAGCAATTCTTTGGTAATATCTGGCCAACTGATCTCTCATGGAAAGCAAAAAATTACATGTTCGCATCCCAAAAATTTAGTTATAGCGCTGCCCAGTATATCCGCAAGCCCTGGAGGAAGAGAGTGGGATGTATCGCTATCGGGCGCTATGGTGAAGCCTTTTACTTTACGATTTCGTCCAGTCCCTAGCGCTCTCTTTGCAGCAATTATCATACCTTCAGGGCAGTATCACAAGCTACCACTCTCCCACACACAACACCTAACTCCACCTCGGGGATATTAGCCTCCCTCCTCTCACTTCCGCGGAGGGAGGGAGGATGCCTACCGGAATACCCTGCGGTCGGGGATACAGCCTCATGCAATACCAAATCACCAAGAAATATCACAAGTCATAGATTTATGTCGCATTGACGGCAGATAGGAAGTAGGAACTGTGCCCACCGTGAGATGGAAAATTATTGCTATACAGTCTCGATTTGGCGCTGGAGCCTGCGGAGTGATTATGTATGTTAATATGCAGTTATCCTTTCTGGACAAACTACATGACTACAGGAGCTCCTTCAACTCCGCTAGCTGCACTTTGGCTCAGCCGATGCCCGGATATCAGTTATGTCCCGGGTATTGGGGAGGGACAGGCCGCGCATTGGGCAGGGGGTTGAGCGCGGGGAGGAAACATAATCTCTTGGGGAAAAAGCAATATACCAATTGCAGCCCGCGGCCGCCAAGATGTTCTTGTTTCTAGAGCTTAAGGAATCAAGCAGAAATCAGTGCGGCGAGAAAAAATGTGTATTGGGCCGTGGATGGATTAGGAGCTGAAGGATCCATGTGTCGCTAGAATGGCTGGACGAAGGCTTCCGGATATGTGGCGGATAAGGATTATGTGACGAGAATTGGCTAAGCCCATGGAGCGGGAAGTGGCAGTGACTCACAGTGATTCTGAAGGGCTAACTAATATAATACGCCTTCGGGGAAATAAAATTTATAAACCTTGGTCACTGTCTACCAACCCCCAAATCTCCTCACACCTAGAGAGGTGGTTGAGGAAGTAAAACCAGTTGTGAAAATGGTGGCTTCCCGGGATGGGTTTTTAATGGCGGGTCATGTGTTCCGCCCGGGTATTCGAAGGTAGTCGCAAACCGACTATAATACACTAACAAATGCACAAGGGAAGAGCGACGCAAGTGTGATATTGTCAAGGCATTTCTCATTACCGTAACCTTGTTCGGGGAATTGTGTCCTATCATAGTCACGACAGGACAGTATCACGAGTGACCTTTTATGATTTCTAGTGACACCGGATCACCTAGCTCCAATAAATTTATTTTCCTGGCGGCCTCTAAAACCGTCAGGGTCTAGCGGATGCTTGCTGATGCAATGTAACCCTTTTTACCAATCGACAAGGAGGTATGAAGAGGCCCCAAAGGGTTCGAGCTGGAAAGGAAATTTTGAATTCCTGAAGACTGTTTTCTCTAGGCATCATCAGTGTGAACCTTGTGCAACTGTTTCGAATAACAAAGCCCTCAGATAGGCTCAGTCAGACCTCTTCCCTGCAATTATAACTTTTGAACGGATCTTATATGTAGAAAGGGTTCGTGCCTGTATTTTCGGGAGAGTACAATAAGCTTCTAAGGCGATTGGTAGTGGAAAGGTAATTGAGAGTGAGTAGCCATATAGGGGCTAATTTAAGTGTCCTCGTACTGGAGAGTTGGTATAGTAAGTTAAATGGGGAAAAAACAATTCCCTTTCCCCCTTTTTTATATCTTCTGCTACCCCGCGGAGGGCTGACCACCTCTATAATAGGGATATGATCCAGAGTCGGATTCTATCAAATGGTAACCTCGTAGCAGGTCTGAATTGTGCCACAGCTCCGCTGCAGAAGGCAGAGGTCTTGGATCCCCTAGTTTTCTAACGGTTGCTTGAGTCTGGTGCCCTCGGTAGACTATTCAAATCACCCCCTTGTGAGGGGAATGGAACTCCTGGGTTTCTGCTAATAAAACAGGTACTGATTGGCTCTTAGCAGAACAACCGATCTACCTGGATAAACCGCGCAATATTTCGGTCGGAAATGATACACGTTCTGCTGGAGAATGGGATAGGTTTTGATCTTTTTGTCTAATTCTAAGGACAATGGTTTATGATAATGTTTGCTGATTTATTGATTATATTGTGGGAGTGCGCAGGAGACATCAGGACTAAATTCCTGGCAGGAAGGATACACCAAATGCGAGCGGATAAGAGTTATCTTCCTGGTGTAAGCTGGAGGAAAGGATCGACCATGTCTCTCAGAGATGCCCGGTTCTTGACCTAGCGCAGAAAGGGATCGACACAAGGGTGCTGGATTTCGGCCTGGGGATGGAGGTTTTCCAGCTCACTCAAGAGGGAAAGATATTAATGAATGTTTTTGCTAATTTTGGTTCTGTTAGTGGTTGAAACCTCCCGGTGAAAGCGGATCCCCCACTCGCAAGAGTCGCAGTTTCTTTTTTTGAAGGGGGTTTGAGGTCTTTCCTGCGCCACTTTTTGGACGTTAAGAGATGTTATGATATTTGTTTTGCTTGCGAATTGGTTGCATTGATTTTCT